GTCGCACGTCCGCGCTTGTTGAAATGCAATTCCCGTCTTGTGTGGCGCCCGGAACGTCCTCGATGACGCCTTCGCTCGCCGTCCCCTCGCCAACGTTCCGCCCGCCCTCTCTCCTCCTCGTCTAGATGCGCGCTCAAGACCCCTCGCCAACGTTCCGCCCGCCCTCTCTCCTCCTCGTCTAGATGCGGGTTCAAGAGCGCCGACGTCGGTCGCAAATCATCCGGTGACGGCGACCGACGAATCCGCGCCTCGTGAACAAGGTCGACTTTGTCTGGCACCTTCCCTCCCGCCTTGCCCTTCTTCCCCTTGCGCTTTTCATTTGAGAACGCAATTTGGTGGATTATTCCTCCTTGTGGTTTCTTGCCGTTGTGCAAATTAGTGGTGAGCTGCACATGTTTGAACTCTGTGGATTTCATTTCCATCGTGCAAAGTGGTTCTTGTCTGGAATGTCCTTAATTTTGGGACACGCCCATTTCGTTCACGCGTGTGGGCCGTGTATGCCTCTCATTTTATTTCCCGTTTTTGACTTTTGGGGATTACTTCTAGTCGTATTTCTACAGGTTGTGGTCATGATGAAAATATGGCAGCGCCGTCTTGATTTTAGGGCCTTTTTTCTTAACTCTCTGGATTATTTCTCGTTGTCTTATTTATTTCTAATGTGTAAAATTAGTGTGGAGCAATAACGCGTTCATTGAAGACGCAACATTGTGCCTGTTGTGTGTGTGTTGAGGACTTTTGTTTTTTTTAACTCTGCATTATTTCCAGTCGTGTTTATTCTTCTTGAGCAAAGTGGCAGTTATCAAGAATAAGTGGCAAGAGGAGAGATCGCATCGTCGAGACCTTTGTACATTTTGCGGCACAGGTCGTGGACTTTTTTTCTTTTTCACTTCCTGGATTATTCCTCGTCCTTGTTCGTTTCAAGAACTTTGATGACAAGAGTGAGAGAGCGCCACTCGCACGATCTTGTGGCTTATTCCTACTTGTGCTCGTTTCTAGTGTGTCTAAGTTGGCCGTTGATGATGATTAATGGCCTAAAATGGATCAAAGTCATTAAGAGGAGCCCTTTGTGCAGCGGATGATTTCATAGTGTTGTTGATTTCCAATATGCCAGCTGAACTTTATTGCTCTTTGTCATGCGCTGCCTCAAATCGGGAGCGAAAACGGTGCTCGTGGACCTTGTTTACAACAGAGCTTTGTGGGGGCGGGGGGG